CCTCTCGTCTCAGTCTGCGTCGCGCGTAGCTCCGGGGGAGGTATCACCGACGGGCTCAAGTCGGCAGCTCTTTAGTGCCTAGCCCCTCTTTGATCCTGTCTCTCAGGACTCTGACCCCACTCCTTGGTCACCCCGGTCATGCGTGCTTCTTAATCACGCGAATCGCGAAGGCACTGGCTCCGCCACCATCATGGAGCAGGCCCGCCTCGCCGCGTGACCCGTGGAGTGCGCGGCGATACCACCGGCTCGGCAGCGCCTCGACGCGCGGTTTGACTCTTGCTTGGTCACCGTCGACAAATGACGCCCAATGGGCCTCGTCGTCGACCGCATCTCCGAGCGACGCGAACCACTGAAGGAACGCATGCCAGACTTTGGGCTCAGGCGAAAATCCCCAGCTTCCGACATGCGGAAAGAGGAACACGCTGTCTCGCGGGAGGTCTGGTTCAAGTTCAGCAAGTTTCTCATTTGCATGTCCGTGCGCAGTGGCACTTGTCATGGGACTGCCAGCAAGCTCGCGCGGATATGCATCAAGGCGCGCCGCCTGACGCTGAAGTGAGATACCCGCAAAGTCACCACTCGTCGCATACGCGTCGTGAGCCGCCGATAGGTACTCGAACCTGCGGGGGTGGGGAGACGGAGGCCTGTGCACGCGCCATACATGCGCAGCTCCGGCAACGCGCCAGGCCGGGGACAATTCGATATCGTCCTCGAGGATCACCACACGCGTGAACTCCTCGCCAAAGAGTCCCGGATCCGAGCACGCCAGCCACATCCCTCGCACGCCACGCTGCTCACGCGATGGGAACACGCGAGCCTCTCCGCGGTCCCACCGGGTTCCCGCCCAAATCCGCGCCAGCGCAATCACGGCCCGCCGTTGTTTCCGCTCGTCCGCACTGGCGCTCCGACCAAAAAGCCAGCCCCCCGATCGAGCCACTTGATCAACGTGAATTTCCACGTCTATTTTCGCCGTCTCCGGGTACGACGCAGCCTCCAGCGACGAAAGAAGGCGTGAGAGGGACTCGGTCCGTTTCTGAGCCAGCACTTTGACTGTCAACTGTCTTAACTCAGCGGCCAATCCCACGGGCAACAAAGCGAAAAAAAAGAAACTTCTATGCGAATTTAAAGAGAAACGAATGAAGCGCATAGTATATATCGGCACGGCCTCTATCGGCGGGAATTGAATCAGGCCCGTTCTATGACGACGTTTTTTTTGCGCACAGTCACTGCACAGTCCAAATCCTGCAAATTAGATGTCTCACGGAGCGTACTTGCCTTTTCAATCGATGTAAAAACTCAGATTCTGGGTGTACCACCTAAGGCAATAGAGAGTTTTATTTTTTCTGGATGATGCTTATATATTGTTTTGGACATTCAATATCCAAAGTGAACGTCATCAGGAAATTTATTTTAATAAAGCTTAAGCTTAATGTAGAAAAACCTAATCCTAGTTTCGTAATAAAGTCATTGTTGTCGAGCTAACGAGTCATCGTAAACGAGCTAAGCTTCAACTAGTGGGGCAGCTAGCATGGGCAGCGCCGGCGAGTCGCCCCCGCGCCAACGCGCATCGCACCGCAGCCGCACCACACATCGATCGAAGGGAATGCGCAGCCCCAGCGCCGCCACGCCACGCGTCGCCGCGCCGCGCGCCGCCGAGCGCCTGGCGCCGCCGCCCACGCGGCGCGCGATGCTCTGGCACGCGGGCGACGACACCGACGACGCGACAGTGCCTGGAGCATCGACGACGGAAAAAGACTGGCCTAATTTCCCCACGCGCGCGCGCGCGCGCGCGCGCGCGCGCGCGCCGCCGCCGCCGCCGCCGCCGCCGCCGCCGCCGCCGCCGCCGCCGCCGAGGAGGAGGAGGAGGAGGAGGAGGAGGCTAAGGCCCATTAGCTAGCCCTGCGCGCCTTACCACGTGCCGGCGGAGCCCAGCTCGTC